TCTCTCTCTCTCTCTCTCTCTCTCTCTCTCTCTATCTATCTATTGCTCCATTGCACTGAAACACACTGCTAGGAGAAGCAGTGGGCGAGGCAGGAACAGTCTCCTTAGCGCTCCCCCCACCACCTGCCATTTTAAACAGTCTTTCTAGAATATACCCATTCTTTTCCCACTCCGTTATCCATCTTGGTACTGAAATGTAAGGTTATTTTTTAAAGCAGCTTTCACTGTCTTGCTCCCCCATCAAAAAAACCTCCAGTGGCTCTCCATTTTCTATCAAATAACAAAGTTCAATAATTTAGCCCGTGCCTCTGCAATAACAACTTAAATTTATCTTCCTCTCTAAAAACGCCCATCTTGTACCTATTAATTCTGTTCCAGAATAATCAGGTTTTTCTGAACACTCCCTATCCATGTTACCTTTGTAAGCTTTACCAGGAAACAACAGATGTTAGGGTGGTTGGGGAATGGGCTGCCTCTGTGTCAGAGACAGGACACTGTGGGTGCCGGTAACTACATATGAGAGAGCCCAAGAGCTTGAAGCTTTTGGGCACATTTTGGGAAATATGAGTAGGGCTGGGTTTCTGGAGCAAATAGGTGGTGGCCTGGAGAAAACACTGCAGGACGAGAGGGAGTCTCTTGAATGCTCAATGCACCAGATAAATTGCTTGGACTTTTCCCTGTAAACAGAGGGTTAGTAAATGATTAACAAGAAATGCTGCAGTAGTGAACATATTTCTTATTTACAACTACCCTCTACCCCCAGGCCTGTAAGGTTGTCCAGGCTTAGTTTGAGTTGCTCTAAAAGCAGACTCAGACAAACACTTGGGTGCAGGTAGTTTGTGTGGAAGATGATCCCAGAAGTCAGAAGTGAGAGGTCTGGTGAGTTGAAGAAGGGAGAAAAGTCAGCCATGTTGTATTTTTAATCATCATAATTATCATCATGGATGACTGAGCTGCTTCTCACTGGGGCCTGTTAAGTGACCACGCTGTATACTCCTGAGAATTAAGTGTCCTCCAAAGACTGAAAGAATCTGGGTATTTTTGTATTAAATTAAGCCCTTAATGGATTGGGAGTTGCCCAGGGTGTGTTAAACCCCAGGTGCATGAGGCCCATCTGGGTCTAGGTAGGTAAGTTCTCCTGGTATTCTGGAAAACTCACAGGACAAGGAGAAGTGAGTCCTGGGGCTTGAGGTGGGAAGTTGTTAGTGACATGGGAACTGTCTACCTGCAGCCACAAGAGGTGGCCCAGGGGCCTGGGCAGGCCACCTGCTGCTTCCAACCCTGTGCACTCCTGTGGAGTGACCCTAGGTGCATACGGCTACTTCCCTGGCTCTGCAAGGCCTTTGAGGGCAAGAACCAGACACACAGAGGCTGAGCAAGTAAAGCACAGGGTTGCAGACAGGCTTGCACATGACTGGAAAGGCAGGCGGGAAATGGGACCGACTGGTAGGGAGCGCCTGAGTCAGTGAGAACTCGGTATTGAAGAGTATGACCTAGTGTGGGGTTTAGCTACACCCCAAACTCAACGCAGAGAGGGGAGATGGTGAGAACAGCAGCATGACTGATTATCAGTATGGTCTAGGAATAGTCACTTACTTACTCTGGGTTGCTGCTACATGGGTGAGATGTGTAGCCAAAATCCAAAAAGCCATTCCTTAGAGGAACTAAATCTTGTTTCAAGCCCATTTGCTTACACCTTTGAGTCCTCTCAGAGAAGCAGAAAGCTTTGCAAATAGAACATTCTGGTGTCTGGTTGGACTGAGCTACGGTGTGGTCACATGATCAGGTCAGGTTCCCTGAGCCCTTGTAAGATTCTAAGCTACCAGGACCAAACAAGCAAGAGCCATAACGTGTAAATATGGGGGGTGGGGGGGGGCGGGGGGAGCTCCCTGGTGTTGCAGGGGTTGAAGTCTCAGCATTATCAAGCTGGCCTCAGCCCCTGAGGCTGGCACACTAGTTCAATCCCCAGCCAGGAAGATGACCCACATGGCACAGCAGACCTCTCCTGTCTCCCCGCTGCTCCCCTCACAGTGTATTGCAGTAGATCCACCTGTTCTGCTCCCTGCTTTGTCTCTGGTGAATCTTCTCACCCCCTGCACCTCTGGCCTATACCCCATTTTTTGTATGCATAAATAAATAAAAATAGGAATCTTAAAATCAAACAAAAAGCCATGTGTATGTGTGCATGTTGACTACAGCACTCCTCTGTAAACTCCTGGGAGCTGGATGTTTGGGGACACCCTGGCAAAGGTCTTAATGCTGGAGGTGGAAACCCTCACAGGGACCAGGCCTGACATGGAAGAATGGGCACTGGGACCACACGGCACTTCTGGGTGTGGGTGCAAAAGGCGGCCTTTTCAGGGGTAGTCCCACCCTCGCTTTCCCCACTGCAGGAAAGATCACTGGAAGGAAAACAAGACAGAACTCAGCCTTCTGCCAGCACCAGCTTCTGCTCTCTCCTCACCCCCTACCCACCCCAGCTCCACTCTTCTATTTCCTAGAGATGCTAGCCAGGTCCAAACCCTACCATTCTACCTCAGAAAGAGTCACAGAAAGTGTCTACACGGATGTCCACTTTAATGATTCAGATTTGGGTCATGCTGGAACAGCCTCTCTGGAGGGCAAGGGGAGGGTACTAGGACAGAGAGGCTTTGCACAATGTCTCAGTCAGCTACAAGGTTGCGGCCCGCCATGGAGGGAGGCTTAAAGAAATCCTAAAACAAGAAGAAACAATGGGTTGGAGTCAGCATGTGGGGAGGTGACCCCTCTCTTTCCTCCTCTCCTGCCCCCAAATACTTCAGTGCCTATCTGTTCCAGTAAGGTCGCCAGCTGAGTGCCCACCCCCTTGCTCCAAGCCCCAACAGACACCCCATGATTTTCCCTTAGACGTGGGCTCCAGGCTGGAGAATTGTAGCTCCCAGCCACCCCCCCACAGCGGGGTTGCCTCCCCAGGATGACTGCCTTGACCCAACAACCAACCCAGGCTTAGGAATTCCAGTTCCTACCTCATGGGGGTGAGGACCAGCTTCCTTGGGGAGCACAGGGGCTAGAAGCCCCCCAAGGTGCAGGCTGCCTGTGGATGAAGGTGTTAGCTTCACTGTCCAGACCCCTCAGTCTTCCCAGGACCCAGATGACTGGCTCTTTACAAGTCTGTTTTCATCTTGCTCTCTGCATAACCCACCCCTAGCATCACTAGAGTGGCCTTTAAAAACCGTTGATCACATGATGACATTCAAGTGTTCTCAGCTTACTTGCAGCTGCACTTAAAATCCCAAACTTTGACCACGCTCTACGAGACTGTTTTTGGTCAGTTCTGGGCCTGCTTTCTGCCTTATCTTTTCCCACTGATGGTTCTGCTTACATGCCAAAGGTCCCTGAGTGACAGCTTTTGCACCATGTCTCTCTGCCTGGGGTGGCCTTTGTATCTTCTGGTTTCCATTTTCTTGTAACTTAGGACTTAGTCTCCAAACACTTGTCAGTGTGAAGGAGTCTGCTGCTTGGGACAGCCCAGCACCAGGCGTGCAGGGCTTGCTGGAGTCTGAGAAGGGCAGGGCCATGCCGAAGAAGAGGCTGGGACTTGTGGGAACTGCTCTGTCCGGGCACATGAACCTGCCCTGCAGCCTTCACCAGTAAATAAGCCCCTTGACCAGTCTCAGCCCCAATTTCTCATCTATAAAGGTGATGGGAATGTTCGGTGGGTGATTTTCAATCTGGACAATGAACAGTTGAAGCACGCTGAATGCCTCAGAGTCTCACTCAGGTCACTTCTACAGGACACAGAATACAGCAAGGGTGCATGAGGTGGGTGGGTGCCGAGTGTGAAGGCATCTGGCCTGATCCTCTCATTTATCCAAGAAGCTTTGCTATTATTTCATACATACAAGGGAGTGTGTGAAGAAAAGGAGGGTCTTGGGCCCTCCCTGGTGGCACAACAGGTTAAAGTGCAACACTATGAAGCCATCCACAGCCACTGCATCACCACTAGGGAGCTGACCCACATGGCGCGGCAGAACTCTCCTGACCAGCCCGCTGCTCCCCTTGGGTGTGTGTATCTGTCGATCTTCCTACTCTGCTCCCTGCCCTGTCTCTGATGAAGCCTCGCACCCCTCCCTGCCGCCCATCCCCATACCTCTGGTCCAGTTCTTGTATGCATAAATAAAGAAATCTTAAAAAAAAAAAAAAAGGAGAGTCTTTCATTTAATTTTGAAAACTGCCGTTTACAATGAGTATATTAAATCTATACTTATACATGATCTTATGGCTCATTGCGTCCTTAGTGGCTCTCTGCACCTGCCTTGTACCTCCACTCTCTCATATGGATACCCACAGGTCATCTTTATCCATTCATACATCAATACCCATTCCCTCCTTCATACCTACCTCCCTCATTTAAGCGTGATCGCAACCTCAGGAAAATTGAGCCCCTCACCTTGACAGGCTTGGCCACCTCCCGTTTCAGGGCATTTGAAACCACTTTGGAGCTAGAGCACTGATCCCTGTTCACCTTGGACACTGGGCTCTGTGAGAAAGGAAGCCAGGGGTCAGGAAGGAGGCAGCAAAGGGCACCCCAGAGGGAAAGAGATGGCATTCAAAGGTAGGGATTTAAAATTCTCAAGACGACATTCGAGTCTCACCTTGGGGAACAGGAGTCGGAGTTTCCCCTCATGCTTGCTCCTGGAAGAGACAGAGATGATTAGCAGGACGCCGCCTTGCTAACACCCACTCACTCTTCCTTGGCAGACATCACTAAAGTCTCATAGAGCTGTTTTCTGCAGATCTCAGGCAATATTAATATTCATCAACACCCATCCCAGCTCTACTCCATCTGCCCACCAGAGAGCATGGACTGACCACAGGCCTTACATACCTCACTCCAGTGTTTTTGGTGGTAAAGGCTGCCTGCCCATCCCTCAGACATGGATCTTGGGGGTGGGGTCGGCTGATGTGCTCCATCTCCTGGGTCATCATGTTCTGAGTGATGTCATCTTTCCAGAACAAACCTGAAGAGTGAAAGGATGCAGTGCATTGACTCCCGGGACATTCTGGCCCATTGTAGGGACTAGAGTGAGATTAACACTTCCCCAGTTTCCCAACTAGATAAACAATTACAATCTGTGGTGAGAATTAAATGAGATGGTATATAAAAGTTGCTTAGCACTGTGCTTGGCATGAAATAATCATTCAACTAGGATCAAAATTGCATTCTCTTAGTTGATTCAATTTATATTATTGTAGAATTAAATGAAAGTAGGGATGTAAAGGGTGCTTAGAAATTCTAACACAGCTGCCTGAATTCAAACTGTGGCATATCAGCATCTCCAGCAAAGCTTGTTAAAATGCAGATTGCTGCTGTTCCTCTAGAATTTCTGATTCAGAAATTCAGTAGGTCTGCATAGAGCTCAAGAATTAGCATTTCTAGCAATTCTGTGCTGATGCTGATGGTCCAGTCATGCACTTCGAGAGTCACCTCTGAAGGCATTATTCACATTCTAGGTATCAGTAGCAGCAGAAGTAATATTAACTCAAGGCAGATTTCCTATCCAATCTCTTCATTCATAAAACTGCTCTAAGAAATGGCCAGCATCTTTCTCCAAGGGACTGTCCTTTTCCTTTCACTCCTCCCCTCTAATTGTCATGTATTTTGTTTTGCTTCCTACTGAGAGGATGACCTACTGAGAATGTGTGTTTTCTCCTGACCAAGGATTCCTGGTTCTGGAAAAACTCAAGATAATTCTAGGGGCTGGCTAGCCCCAAGGAGTTGGATGCTGGTCTTTTCCAGGGGCATCTTCTCAAGCTCCTGCTGGGTTTTTATTCAAGGGCAAACAGCCCACTCCTGCAAACTCTGCCCCTCCCTTTGAGCTCAACTCCTTCTCCATGAGGTGAATATAACAGGGAAGTTTCTAGTAGATATCCTGAGGAAGAAAGTCTCAGATCAAATGGCCCTTCCTTAAGCCCTCCCACCTCCCTACTCCTCAGTGGGAGACCCTAGCCTCTCTTCTTCACCTCTACTCACCTTGAGGCACAATCTGCTGGAGTACAACTCGCAAATGCCGGAAGAATGGGCTGGTAAATCCTTGGAGGGGCCAGAGCTGCCCGAACCCCACTTGGCCCTGACCCTCTAAGGGCAAAATAGTGCTGTCAGCATGGAGCTTGGCTGTAAAGCTCCCAAATTCCAGCTGAAGAAAAGTAGTTTCCTTCCACTATTACCACTGGATTCTCTGGTATCTGCTCCTCTCACCAAGCCCTCTCTTTTTCATCCCCCCTCCCCATCTGTCCTGTTCTTTAGCTTCTGCACCTTGTTCACCTCAAATACTGATTTCTGGTTAAGAAGAAAGCTTACAAAGAGCAGCCTGTGGAGGTTCAATTAATTAGAAATGCAGAAAAGACACACATTGAATTGATAAGCAGGTGAACGGATCGGGGGAGGGGAAAGAGGAAAGCCTCTGCAGTCAGGGGGAGACTGGAATAGGCCTGGAGTCCTTGTGGTATATAGAGAGTCTTTGGGTGTTTGGAAAGCCAGGGGGGAAGGGTAGGAATGAGGGATGAAAATACCTAATGCTCTACTCTACACACCTTCCCTTATTCCAGTGAGGAAGTAGATGGGGTACGGTCGGAAGAGAGCTCAGGGTTCTTTTCTATAGCCAATCGTTGTTATTTACAAACAGATTTTAAGTCAAGGAAATTCTCCCCATTTAAATTCATCCTATTATCAATTGTCTGGCTTTGGATAACAGTAGAACTGCCAGCTACTGAGAAGGGAAAGAGCTTCGGGAAGAGGAGATCTTTTTCTGAAGCAGTGCTCCAAAGGGAAAAGTGGTGAGCTGGAATAGACTGGACAAGACCCTCGGCGCGACTGGAGCTGTCCGTGGTGCTGACATTTGGCCTACCCCCGGTTGGAGGTTCTCTGGGAGATAAAGACCTAGGCACCTCCACAAGGCTTCCCATTCTAACCTTTTCCAACGAACGCCCCGCCCCTCCTATTATCAGCCCACAGGCCTCCTCCCACAGTCCTTCTCTAGTCTCTGCTTTGGCCTCTAAATCCGGAGGGGAGAGTAGGCGTCTCCTAGGAGCTTGCCCCCTCTAGCTGGACTCCTCGAGTCTGCGCATTGCGTCCCTGACTGCTCAGACCTGAGTCATCGCTGGTCTCCAGCACTGGTACAGAGGGGAGGGTGGAAAAGAAAAGACCCTTCCTTTTCTGCTCCGCCCTTTTACCCCAGCCTAACCTTCCCCCTCTTATCGGAAATCGGGTCGTAGCCACCAGGCTCTGAGAGCTTATGAAAAAACTTGGCCCGTCTCTCCGCCCAGACTTTTCTCCAGAACCAGGGCCCAGGACTCGCGGTCCCCACTTCTGTGCAAACACCCTGCTCTTCTTATCCTTCAACCCGTTGCATCTTTTTCCTGGCTCAGCCCCTCTTACTCCTATGACCCCCTCTGTCTGTTTGTTTTCTCATCCTCCTCCCGAATCTCCAATCTTCTTCCGAGCCCACTTCTGCTTAGGTCTGAGTCTCGTAGTCTCAGCCTCAGCCTCCGCCTGCATCTCTTTTTGCGACATGCTCTCTACATTGATCTCTTCACACGCCCCCTCCCCCTTTTCCTGCTAAATTCCTAACCATGAGGCACCCAACCCATTTCTTTCAGGATCGTCCTGGCTCCGCCCGCACCCCCCACGTTTCCTCCTGACCGTGGCCACTAATGTCGCTGCAGCCCCCTGGACGGCTGATCAGCAGCAGGAAGCAGAGACACAACCGGAGCCCCTCGGATCCCCCAGGCCACAGTGGGCGCTGCATCCTCCTAGACCAGGCGCGCTCGCTCCCCGCCCAAGTCCGGTGTGGGGGATGGTAGAAACTGCGGGCCGCAGGGGCGGAGCGGGGCTGGGCTTCCTACCCGCCGCGAGGCCGAATCTGCACAACCCTTTCGAGGCAGCTGCGCCAATCGCGGGCAGACCCAGCTCTTGCAGACGCCTACCACAAATCCTCCTTTCTCCTTACACCCCCGGGGTACCCCACCACACGCACGCCAAGCTCTCCTCCTTTTCTTATGTAAACCAGTGCGAAGAACTCTCTTCTCTGCACCCAGTCCCGCCTGAGGTTGGAGAAATGGACTGTGTGTAAAACGTGGGTGTGAATTATACCTACATCAAAAGTTTGTTGTGAGGATTAAATATGAACTGTAGGCACTCAGTGAATTGAGTCTGTTTTTGTTATCGTGATGCTCCTTACCCTCGCCCACCTGAAAACCTTCGATTGTGGGATCGACCTGCAAAATACATTGCACATCCGTCCACGTTGCCTCATACCCACTGCCCTGGCTTTGCTTCAGACTACTGTACTCTTTTTAATGAAACTGTTGCATAAAGTAACTGTCTTTGAAATGAACGGATCTTATTTCCACCCTTGTTTAGATGTGTGAGCTTTCTAACTCCTAGACTGGCATTCAATTATTTTTTCATTAACTTTAAAATTTTCCATTTTGAAAACTTTCAAGGTTAAAAAATGAAGACTCTAAGGACATGGATGTGCCTACCAACTAGACTTAACAATTATGAAGATTTTGTCACATATTTTTTTCTTGATGAAATAATGTAAAAATAATTTACAGACATCATGACATTCACGCCTAAATCACATAATGTGCATCTCTCAGAATTTATGATTTTAATACATGACCAAGAGGTAACTGGGACCTCCAAACTTGCACACTGAGAGAGATCCATACTCACAAAGGCAAGGCAGACTCTTAATGTGACAGAACTTTAATGGAATTAGTGTGCATCAAGAGAGAAGAGGAGAAAGGATATTTTTTCCAATAAATCACCCAACGTTAGCCATCCCTTCATGGGCAAATGTTCAGCCAAATAGCCTTGGCCTAAACCAAGGCCATTAAGGTCTGAAAATGTGCCTCAAGTCTAAGTACCTTCTGGTCGGGAACCACAGGAAAGGGTTTCTGAAGCAGGTGCCAGAAAGTTGGGATAAAGAAGCAAAGTGAAAGTACAAATCAAGACAACGCCTGCCATTGCCAGCCTCCCACATCCAAGTGTCTCTACATGTTTCTCTTCTACATGTCTCCTCTGAGGAGAACCAGGGTGACATCAGCCTGCAGGAGCAAGAGCTCCCTTTTTTTCTCTCTCCCTCAACCCACCTGCCATTCTTGTTCTATGCAGCAACGGGCTGCTCAACTCTGCCCATCAAGTGGGGCGGGAACATGACACACTCCCCTTTTATGTACCCATGATAGCTTCCTGTGTAACTGTAATACCATCACGAGGTCTGTCAAAGGCTGAATAATGACCCCTACAGGGGTGCTGTCTGAACTCCTGGAAGCTATGCACATATTACTGTGCATGTCAAAAGAGATGGTGCAGGTGTGGCTAATCTCAGAAGATAGTTAATGCAGATGGGGAGCTTAGACTGGATAGCCCAGTTATGCCCCGTATAACCAAAAGGGTCTTCAGGAAGGAGAAGCAGGAAGGTCAGAGTCAGTAGTGGGAGATGTTGGAAGGGAGAGGTTGGAACCAGGCAAAGAGCCACAAACAAAGGAATGCAAACAGCTTCTAGAAGCTAAATAAGGCAAGGAGATGGACTGTTGCTTCAGTCCTGCTGACCAACAAATTTCTATGGTTCTAACCCTGCTAACCCAACACGTTTCTATAGTTCTACTCAAGTTTGAGGTCCTATTACAGCAATTGGCTAGAAACTGATACAGCTATTGACCTTTTAGCTATACACTTATGTGTTAGTTTTAAAACTGCTCTAGAAAATCTAATAAGCACCCTTAATTTGTCTGTACTTTGAGTTAATATTATGCTACATCATGCAAAATGTATAATAAACCTTACAACAATAAAATTCACTTGCCTCCTCATTGTATATACTACTGTTAAATGCTTTATTTCTGCATATTTTGTAACTTACACAATACTTTAAAAACTTATTTTTGCTTTAATGTGTCAGTAGACTTTTAAAAAATTTCTTTTTTTATGCATATAGAACTGGGGTACTGGCCAGAGGTGCAGAGACAGCGAGAGTCTTCACCAGAGACAGAGTGGGGAGCAGAGCAGGCAGATTGATGAAGTACACTGCTGAGGGGAGCAGCAGGGAGACAGGAGAGGTCTGCTGTGCCACATGGGTCAGCTCCTTGGCTGGGGATCGAACTCGTGCTGAAGCAGCTGGAGGCTAGCTTGCAGTGCTGTGCTTTAACCCCATTGTGCCACCAGGGAGGGCCTGAGAAGTATTAATGTTCCATGGAAAAGGGACACATTGGTTAGGGCTGGGTTGAGCAGAGGTGGGGTGTTTCTACCTCCCCTTCAGATTTCAAACAATCAGAGAAGTAGCAATGAATTGATGAATGACCTATGCATTCATACTGCACTTTCTGCCCTCCATTCGAGGGGGCCCTAAAGCTGCAGGTAGCACACTCAGAAGGCCAAGTAGGATGTCTGGAGCATTGCACCCGGGGTTCAGAGGAAGCAAGTTTCTTTCCCAAGAGGAAAAAGCGCACTAGACAGCATGGCCGGGTGGGGACAGACTGCAGTTGGGCTGTAGTTCTGCCCTGCCTGGCCTTCATGTTTTGAATGATGTCTGGAAGGAGAAAGGGAAGAGAAGTCTGCACCACAGGTCTATCCCAGGTGCCTCTCCGTTCCGGCCTGACACAGCTCACTTCCGAGGCTCTGCTGGCAGCCAGCTTGTTTTCCATCCAGACAAGTCCACAGAGCTTTGACAAAAATTCAGAAATTTAGAAACCCAGTAGCAGGTTGTCCCAGAAATGTCCCTCTGAATGGCAACGCAGGAGTTGGGGGGAGCGGACTACCTCATCAGGGGTAGAAAACAGCTCAAAGCAGCTTTATCATTAAGGAAATGTGGAATTCGCAATTTGTGTATATGCTGGAGTCCTCTCCCTCCCCCACGGAGTGACAGGCTCTGATAGGCCTGATCTGGGCCTGTCTGAGGCAGTGAGTCAGCAACTGCCTAGCAGCTGGCTCTCCTGGCCTGGTGGCTGATCTTCTCCCTCCCCCTTTTCCCTTTGGATTAGAGCTCCTCCAGGGCCCTGGACCCAGGGAAGAATGGGGATTCTTGCTTGCACACTGGGCACCATGGTAACCGGTTCTTGTGGAGATCAGTCACTTCACATTATGATGTCAGCCCAGCCACCAATCAGAGCAGACGGAGCACAGCTGCCATGGTGATGGGAAGCTGTTTCCCTGGAGAGCAGAGGGGTCTTGAGACCCTGGAGGTTCTGACTGGCAGTGCTCAGGGCCTCTGTGCCCAGCCCACTGGGGCTGCCCAGCCCATCTTGCCAGCGTCCCCTGGGTCAAGCCAACAGTCCCTGGCAGGTCAATAGCTTCTTCTCTTGTCCCCATCAGTACATCTTCCAACTGTGCCAGGGTAATCTTTTTATTTTTTAAGTCCCAGCACTCTTTTTTTTTTATTAGTGGAATTTGCTTACAGTAATATGCATTGATAAACCATAGTGTTTTGGGGAGTAAAGCTTCATACCTCGATATTTGCTTACGCCTTACCTCATTCAACCACCAAAATCCTAGTGCCATTTCCACCGTGAGCCAGGCCTCCTCTTGCCTTCCTCTCAGCCCTAGTAAGCTTGTTTTTCAGGGAGTCTAAGAGTCACGTGTGTTTTAATTTGTATTTAGCTATTTACATTCCACATACAAGAAAAAAAATCTGGTAATTGTCTTTCACTTTTTGACTTACTTCACATAGCATAATCACCTCAAGTTCTATCCCTGTTGTCACAAAAGATGAAAAAAGATTTCTTTTTAACAGCCGAGTAGGATTCCACTGAGTAAGCATACAATGTCTTTATCCAGTCATCGCTCCATGGGTATTTAGCTTATTCCCACAGTGCTAACTGTGAATAAATAATGCTGCTGTGAACATAGGGGTGCCAGATAGCTTTTCTTTTTTTTTTTAAGATTTATTTATTTATGCATACAGACCTGGGGTGCAGGCCAGAGGTACAGGGGTGGTGAGAGGATTTATAAGAGACAGTAGGGAGCAGAACAGGCAAATGGATGAAGTACACTGCTGAGGGGAGCAGCGGGCGGGTGAGGAGAGGTCTGTGGTGCCGTGACGGTCAGCTCCGGGGTGGGGATCCCAGTTGGTACTGATGTGGCTGCAGTGCTGTGATTTAACCCGTTGCACCACCAGGGAGGGTCCTGCAGATTGCTTTTTAAGTTAGAGTTTTCTCTGGATAAATTCCTAGGTGTGATATAACTGGATCACATTCTATTTTTAGTTTTTATGGAATCTCCATACTGTTTTCCAATTCACAGCCCCACCAGCAACAAACAAGACTTCCTTCTCCCCACTGTTCCCCCAACCCTGCCAACACCTATCATTCCAGTCTTTTGGATACAGGCCATTCTCAGGGTGGGAGGTGATGTTTTTGCAGTTTTGATTTGCTCTTCCCTGATATCAGAGGAGTTGAGCACTGTTCACATGCCATATGGGCCACTTGGATGTTTTCTTTGGAGAAGAGTCTATTTGGGTCTAAGAATTGTACCTTGTGACATTCTATTCAATGCCCTGACTCAATTCTATCCTATTTGATTCCTTAAGACTCTCGCTGATTCCCCCCAGTTCTTCACGTAAGTCCTAGACTCTTTCCTATTACCTGTGTGGTCAGTTCTGGGCCCATGTCTCCAACTTCATTTCCTGACACTGGCTGTTCAGTGTGTTTCTCTTATGCACCATTTAGAACTGAAAATGACAATATCCAAATTAGGAACTCCCTTGGTAGGCTCCATGACAGGATAAGAAGAAAGAGTCTATATCAACAGAGATGATCCAATGAGAACAACCGAGAGGAAAGACGTGGGAAAAATATTAACGGAGCCTCAAGGGCTTGCGA